TCATTTTCCTGACATCACATTATCTGACCTTTTCTGCTTGACTCATACATATACTAGATATTGCAAATAAGGGAAACATGCTGTCATTCTTTTCTCTCATTTCAAATCAGTTTTGTGTGTATGTCTGATTTTCCTTGATCTATGTATCCTGATGCTTTTGAGGTTTACAGCTTCTCAATCTGAGTTTGTCTGTTGCCTTGTTATTGTATTCAGATTATGCATCTTTGGCAGAAATATTTTGGATAATGTGTTTGTTTCATTGCATTCGGTTGTAGTGTATAGTTATAGTCTCATTTTTTAACATTCCCTTTTATCCTTAATTAAGATGGTGTTTGCTGAGTACCAGTAGCTCATACCTATAATCCTAGCTATTCAGGAAGCTGAGATATGAGAATTCTAGTTCAAAATCAGTCCAGGCAGACCAATCCAAGTTAACTAGCAAACAGCCAAAAGTGGAGGTGGAGATTCAGCTTTGTGTAGAAAGCTAAGCAAGAGCATGAGGCCCTGAGTTCAAGTCCAACTATGAGTACCAAAAAAAAGAAAAGAAAAATTAAAAATGGTGTTTGTGAATTTTCTTGCTCTTAAAGCTAGCTTTCCTGTTTGGTACTTGGTAGGTATTTTAATGGGATGTACTTTGTGACCATGTTAAGTGTCCTGTTTCTCTTCTTTCAGTTGTTCATTAAAAAATATGTATTGGACTTAACAATTTGCACTTTGGTTCAGTAGTACTATAATACTTTATTTTGAGGTTCAATATTATCCTGATTTGGTTTGTTCAACTTTTTTTGGGTCCAGTCGTGGGGCCTGAACTCTGGGCCTGGGCGCTGTCCCTCAGCTCTTCAGCTCAAGGCTAGCGCTCTACCACTTGAGCCACAGCGCCACTTCCGGCTTTTTTTCTTTTTGCTTATGTGGTGCTGAGGAATCGAACCCAGGGCCTCAGGCATGCAAGGCAAGCGCTCTACCACTGAGCCAGCTTCCCAGCCCTTCTATATGTTTTTGACATGTCCACAATCTTTGAGGACTCCCTTACTTCCCAGTACAACAGGATTTCCAGGTTCATCTTTGCAGGTAGTTTATCCAATTAGAATGTCATTTTTTTCAAAGTTCGCTGATTCCATTTGGTAGAAAATGGTATTTATATAAAAATCTAGCTACAAGTTGTATTTATTTGAAGTATTGCTGCTCTCCAATTCTCTCAAGTAGTCACAGCTGTAGAATATACTTAAGTATTTACGTATATGACATACATGTATATAAACATCCATGCACATAATCAGAAATCTTGAATACTCTCAGTTTACAGTGGTACTTTTGATTACAAACCTACACCTAATTCAATCTAGTTTTCAAATTTATTATTTTTAACTCCAAGTTTAACAGTGAGAACCTGGTATTCATTACTTTTAATGAAGTTACTTATTTGATCAACTTTTTTTTATTGTGAAAATACCGTATAGAGGGGTTACAATTACATGGGCAAGATAATTTGTACATTTCTTATCAGGCATTATTGCCTCCTCCTTTGTTTCCCCTTCCCATCCCTTTCCTCATCCCCCCACCCCCTCGCCAAAGTTGTAAAGTTCATTTTTTGGCATAAGGACTTGTACATCTCATTGTTGCAATGGGTCCACCTGTCAACTTTTCTATGTATTACAAGTCTCCCATCCCCACTGCTCTCTCTTGAATATTTTCCTCACTCCTCTCTGGTCCCAACATTCAAAGAAGAGTTAAAAAAATAGTTTTATAATCCTAATTGAGAGGCAAAGATAGAAGGATTGTGGTTCAAGGTCATCCTGGGCAAAAATAAGAGAGAAAACCAATCTCAAAAAATTCACACCTGAGAGGCTGGGAAGGTGGCTCAGTGGTAGAGCGCTTGCCTTGCATGCGTGAGGCCCTGGGTTCGCTTCCTCAGCACCACATAATTAAAAAGAAAAAAAGCTGTAATCTCAGCCACTCAGAAGTAAGTAGAAGGACCTCAGTGTGAGGATGGCCCTACACAAAAGTGTGAGACCTTGTATCTGGAGATTAAAAGCAAAAGGGCTGGAGGTAGATGGGTGGGCTTAAGTGGTAGAGCAAGTACAAGACCCTGAGTCCCAAAACCCAGTATTGAAAAAGAAAAAGAAATCTCAGTGCCTAGAATATAGTCACTGTTCCCTGTGTGATTACATTCTGTTGATGAGCTGTTATGTTTAAATATTTATTTAAAACTTCTTGTAGTCAGTACTATGTCAGGCTCTTAGTGTGCAGTACTGGGAATCAGAAGGGTGGCTGTATGTGCCAAAGGGACGTGTGGGCATGATTGGGAAACACAGCTACATTTGTGAGGTCTCACAACTCTAGTTACCAAAGAATACACTAAAAGTTATACACAGGGGCTGGGAAGGTGGCTCAGTGGTAGAGCGCTTGCCTTGCATGCTCAAGGACCTGGGTTCAATTCCTCAGCATCACATAAGCAAAAAGAAAAAACCGGAAGTGGCGCTGTGGCTCAAGTGGTAGAGCACTAGCCTTGAGCTGAAGAGCTGAGGGACAGTGCCCAGGCCCAGAGTTCAGGCCCCACGACCGACAAAAAAAAATAGATAAAAGTTATACACATTTTGAGAAGGAGTTACTGAATGAATTTTAATTAAAAAAATTTTTTTTGGTTGGTTGTGGGGCTTGAATACTGAATGAATTTTAAAATAACCTGAATTTATATGGAAGTTTCTAAAGTTAGTAAGCTTTGAATTAGGGTGTACAAGGTAAGATTTGATAGAGTAATATTAGCTGATATGAAGGAGACAAAATTAGCCTTGGGAAAGACACTAATATAGGTAAGGTATAAAGTCTTAGGCTTAAAGTTGAAGAAAGTGTTAAGGGAAAAAGTGTTTAGTTCTGTGTTAATATGAATGCCTCTCTATGATAGCTGATAAATCCTATATGTAATATGAAA